TATTTTGCGAGTTTTCATATACGCCTCGTAAAGCTCACGATTGAAAGAAAAAACCCGCGACATTTTTATCTCTTTTACGTAACACTCGGGCTTAACCTTAATTAATTTCAAAATGGTCCCATATACGTTTCGCACCACTTGACTCGACGTATACACATGCACAAGCCAATAAAATACCTATAGGCATCTTTAACTAAAGCTCGTAAAATTTCATTTACGATCTTTACTTTTTTTACAAGCCAACTCGATAAGATCGACTTGGGCGAAAATCATTTCGCCAACTGCTTATCACAGCTACAGCGACAAAAACGAAATTTTGTCCCCACGCGCACATGGTGTTCCCCTCGAAATAACGATTGCACACTTGCATGTTGTTACAACATTATTAGTTTATATTGTGCATCGATGTATATTAAAACACGAGTACAGCGGCTTGTGTGTGCGTGTAGGAGTAATCAAGTGTCTCTTCGCCCTTTCCTTCTCTCTTCTTCACGCGACTGCGATTTCGTTGTAACAATACAAAAATGTACGCCCACGTATATAGGTATACGTATGTATTATACGAACTCGCATCGCTGCACAATTTTGCGCAACATCAACAACAACAGCGATGCGCGCCGCTCTCGTGCATATAAGTACATCATGTACGTTTACCCGCCTGTCTTTGATGTACATGTGTATAGGCACATGTGTAATTACGGCGGTGGATAACATTTCGCCAAACCCACATGCGTGCATCGCAAACCAGGAGATTCCATCATTCCATCAAAACATGCAATCGTTTCTTTCGAGTTACATGTCCATAAATACGTATACATTTTCTCGGTTGTCCCTCGTTGACCGATGGGTGGGTATCTTTTCTCTCCACCTTCCATTCGAATCGGCGCTCGACAAAACCACACTATATAATATACGCACGTACGCAACTCGCCATCAAATCCACCAATCGGTCACTGGGTTATCAGCTCGCACGCGATGTACACGACGCACACAGAGGAGCGAGCCTTGACGCACACACACGCGCGCATGTAATTAAGAGGGTGTTTACTCCCCCTTTCTTTGTTTTCGTTCCGATCACCCACGGGCCCTGCCCATCAGGTATATATATATTATATGTGTACTTGTAAGCTTAGCCCATCAATTGTTAAATTGTACACCACACTCCCGGCGATCCCTCGACGCGAGTATAGGGTGTACGCATGGGTATACGGCGAACATCTTTACCCCCGTTGTGTTACGCGCACGCAGGTACTTGGGGGTCAATACAGCCGGAAAAAAAAAAAAAAAAAAAAACAAACAAAAATTTTTTCCTTCCTCTTCAGCTTGGGAACGATGGGAACCGCATCAGCACGGCTAATTAATTGGTCGGTGCGCATACCACGCGGGGGTGAAAGGGGGGGGTATATTATTTTCCAAAAGAAAGGTGAAGTGAAGTATAACGAGAAGGCGCTCTCTCTCTCTCTGGCTGGTGATAATCGTGGGTCCATTGTGCTCCGAGCGGCGAAACAAAGGGGCTCTTTCATGCCCCTGCTCCTCATCCCGCCTTTTGAGGGACTTTTTAGAAAAGTGTCCGAGGCTCCCGTGATAAAGGTATACAACGCGCGGGAGGGGGAAGGAAAGCCTCGGGGGAATTTCAGGCGCGCGCCGAAAAGATGTCCGGCGCTGATATAATGGCCAGGCCGATTGTTGCGCGGCGATCGAGAAGTATATACACCCCACATGTACGGGGGCTTCGAGGAGTAAAAAAAAAAGGTACATTGTAAATAGAACAGAAGGACGCGGGAGTTCTCTTTATCTCTTCCTGCTTCCGCGTGTGCGCTTGAAATTTCTCGCTGAGCCTGGGGTATGTACGCGGCCCGCGCGAGAACACGGGGCTAGAGGAGGTGTGTACCGATGCTCGAGATCATGCAGATGCACGAACAGATTTGCAGCTCTTGGATTTGTTGGGCGCCTCTGCTGATGATCCCCGTGCGGTTGTGTGATATTTATACATTCATCTCTTGCTTCCCTCGCCCCAACTTCCAGCTCAGATTTTTATAAATACAGTGATGGTAATTTGGAAACATTTTTTTAGCTATGTAGGAAGAGTATGTGGGTATTTTGTCGACGAAAAAGCTAGTAGTGTGAAAAGTTGCAGCAAATGTTCGGTTGCCCTCCCTGAAAATGACCGATTGTCAAAAGTGCTCCGTGTATAACCGATAATTGAGCCGATAGCGAGGGTAAGAAAGAAAAAAACACGGCGATTGATAAAAAAAGGAAAAAAAAAAAAAAAAAATTACGAAACCTTTCACCTCACGCTCCGAGTTTCGGAAATATCGCAATAACGCCCCGTGTGATATTATGAAGCGCTGAAATTTTGAATTCAAAAGGAAAAACCCGCGAAAAATCTCGCGACTTGCGCAACGCGGATGTGCTATGTTCTACGACTAATGTATGCGTTTTAGACGCAAAGGGGTTAATTTAGCTCGTCCATTATATTGATTTCGGCTAATTGACGCTGTAATTGCCGGTTTCGGAGGCGAGTCGGATGAAAAATCCTATTATTACACGGCTCGGGAATGGAAGGGCTGCTTTATCAATTAAGCGCTCATTGTGCGTTGGAATTAATATCCGTAATTTGAGGGGGTCATTAACGTATACCGCACGAAAATCTCGAGGCGCGTTGATTTAAATAACATTGCGAGACGCACACCTTCCATATATATATCTGCAGTGAACGGATCGTGTGGTTAATTATTTATCCCGATACCGTCCTTCCGGGCGCGCCAATTAAGAATATTAAAAATTAACCGGTGCGCGGTGAGGGACGCTAATTGGTTGCCGGGGTTCTTGTCCAAGTGACGTCTCGGGAGGTTAAATTGAAGAATCAATCACTCGGTCGGGTACGCGTGTCACACTTGTATATATACGTGTACAGCAGATACACGGGGAAACGTTAAAAAAACACGCGTGGCTCGTGATTTCATTGTGAAAGTTATGAATTATTTAGGGGCAATCTTTTTTTTTTTTTTCCTTCGTTTTGTTTTGTTTCCTACCCCTTGCGTCATTCAGTGCATCGGGTGCTCGAGGTGTTTCGACCAACAAAAGTATGAGTTTGACAACACAATGCATTATTTATTCGACTGNAAAAAAAAAAAAAAAAAAAAAAAAAAAAAAAAAAAAAAAAAAAAGTGCGTAGACGCTTACAACCCGTAAATTATATTAACGAGCGCGCACGACTCTTATGAAGATATGTATACAAATAGGAGCTAAACCTGTATGTATGTATTTATATATATACTTTCACGCAAAGATCTAGTAGGTATACCAATGTATGATGCTCTCGTGTATAATGGCACACAACGGAATCCAGCGATGTGATTAAGCCACGCGAGGGTAGCAATCACGTACATTTTAATATATTATGTTTATTTACGCGTACCACACGATTTGGCTAAAAAAAAAAAAAAAATCATGCGCGTTCGATTAATCAAGAGCTTCTGTATCCCCGCAAATTTATTGCGAGTAATTTGTTTTTTTCTTTTTTTTTTCAATCATTAGCCATTCATGTTTTATTCAAGAGATAAAGCGTATACACTCACGCGTATGGTATGCGATTCCTAGAAGGTTGCCAAAGTCACCCAACAAGTTGTCGGGGCTCAAATGTACAATAAATATAACGTGCATTCCCGGCACATAATATTATCGGTGCATTGTGTCATTTGTACTGTAAATTACAGAGCGAGTCAAGTTAACGTAAAAACGCACATCACCTGCGACTCTGTCCAATCGAGGGAGACACACGCCACACGCTTCCATCTGGTCGAGTTCGGCATCAACAAAATGTATATATATATATCCGAGTAGGTATACATTATTTACGCCGATTCGAAGTAAATAAACACGATGAGCCATTTGCCTTATCTACATAGATGTTTATGTCGATACGCGACAGTGGGGTCGGTCGATTTGTACACGCGGGTATGAATAAGTATAAATATCCATCGCTTCGACGCACAATAGATAAGCTCGTATATAATATATATTGGATGAATCTTCGAGTTAGTTCAGCGTGTACAGCGTATACATGGGTATGAGGTAAAAAAATAACGCGAATCACGTTTACGTGTCGTTTTTACCCACCTTTCACTCCTCCGCGTGTGAATATGTATGTAAGGTCTCGAAAAAAAAAAAAAAAAAAAAAAGAGACTTGGCTGTAACTTTTGGCAACTCGTTGCGTAGCGAATCTCGAAAAAGGAAAGGAAAAGGAGGCATCATCACGCGTTTTGTGTATATAATACACCAGATAACAGATACAATCGGGGGCTAAAAATAATCAGAACAAAAGCTATCCTGTAGCGCGACAACAATCCGAAATCTTCCGCCTAATACAATTGGTGTACGTATACATATTTGTATATAGGGCGTATGCGTTTTACATTTTCTTCATCTTTATTTTCTTCTCTCTTTTTCTATACGGAGAAAGAGGTCATTTACACCGCTAACTGTACTCTTTGTCCTTTCTACCTTCTCTCGCCTTCTCTCGGTGGTCACGCGTGAGGAGGCTATACGTGTATTTATATATCCTCTTTCTCTCTCTCTCTCAAAGACCTGAAATTATGCGTAATAACTCGCTGGAAGGATATACAATATAATATGTATAATTGACAAGAGCAGGCGAGGTCTACTTTTCAAACGGCAAAGCCTCGAAATTCCAGCTATTGTTATATCGCTACATAGACTCCAAGCTAACGTGTGTCGTACAACTGAAAAAAATTTATTTCTAGCGACCTTTTTTTTAATAAATCCAGCGCGTGGGAAAGTTAATTAGCTCGCGCTCGAAGGAGGAATTCGTACATTTTATTTATGTGGGTGGATCGAACTCTCTGGGGTATGATCATAATATATGTAGTTGCCGAGTATAAGCAACAATAAAAATAACGTGTTAAAAAGGAATGGGTAAAATTTAACGACACGCGAGTGAAGATCGTGTATTGATTGCGTATGGTATGTTTGTGCAGGCGAGGGCTGCGTTGAGAAGCCGGTGTCGACGCTTTGGCGGAACTACACGAGCAGTAACCGGCCGGACGTGACGATGAGGCTGACTGTGACGAACGGCGGATTGACCGCCACGACCAAGGACCACGGGCTCACCGAGTACTGGGCCCACAGGGTGACGTACTGCACGGCCCCGGCCTCCCACCCGCGGCTCTTCGTCTGGGTGTACAGGCACGAGGGTCGGAGGCTCAGGCCCGAGCTCAGGTGCCACGCGGCTCTGTGCTCCAAGGAATCGACCGCCCGCAGGTTGGCCTCTGTCCTCGACGCGAGGCTCCACCAGGCCCTCCTCGAGTTTCGCCGTGACAAGGTCTCCAAGCAGAACGCCAGGTAAATCTTTTTTTTATTTTTTTTTTTACGTTTTTGTTTGTCGGGGACTAGTTTCNATATTGGTGGTCGGAACGAGAAGGAGAGGGAGGACACCGTTTCGAGCGTTGATACTCTAGTGTAGTGTACAGTTTTTTTTTGTTTTTTTTTTTTTTTTTTTTTTTCTCTATAATATCAAATGTAAATACTTGTAAAGCTTTATTTTGTTTGATTCGAGCGTCACGTTGCCCCCCCCCCACCTCCACCTCCGTTCGTTTAATCGCGGAAGGACGCACGAAGGATATTTGCGCGTAAAAGTGATGGCTCATCGGTGATGTGTCGGTAGAAGTAAAAAATCACTCGAAATCATCCGTGTATACCATTTATTCTTTTTTTTTTTTTTTTTCATAAATCATGCGTACGGAAACGAGATAAAATTAATGCATTTGTGTGTATACAGTTATTCATCCATCTGCTTATTTGTTGGCTTGGCCTCCGTTTCATATATGCATACGTATAATTATTCAATTTTTTTTTTTTTTTTTTTTTTTACAAATTACGCGGAGTGAGTTGATTATCGTGTCGATTGACAACGTTTATTTGATCCTTGAACTTGTGCGTGGTGTCCAGTATACTTATCATTGAATTTATCCTTGCGCGCTTCCTGGTGAAAGACTCGTGTGACTATTATGATGATGTACAACCACGCGTTAATCGAAACAGATTGGGGGGCTCCAATAACACTATATACCGTCCTTGGCGCGTAGAATAACTCGTTTTTTTTTTTTGCTGCTCAATTTATACACACACACTTGAGTTTTAGAATAAAATTAGATGCAAAGAATTTTAGTGTTTTTTTTTTTGTTTTTTTTTGCAGTCGCGTATTTTTAGCTATACACGTTTACTTGCAAACCCGGTGGAGATACGTTACGTAAGCCTCGTCCATGCGTGATATAATCGGCCGTATATTCGAAGATTCTCAACAATCATAGTAATAGTAATGATACGCGGTGTGAAATTAATAACGTTTCATTTCGCCATTTAATGCCCGTTTTCACTTTATACTATTAATATACACAGTGGGTACACATTCAAAGATGCTGGGGGGTAAGAGGAGGGGCCATTTGGGAATTTTATTTTCACCGCACTGTAAGGCCCATCTCAGCAACTCTCTACGATGATTTCTATGAACCGATGCATCGATACTATTAATTAGTTGCGCAGAGAAATCTCGCGGTTGCGTAACGGTAAAACGAATGATTATATGTTCCTTGGAAAAAAAATCCATCGTCTTACAAATGTATAGAGTTCTACTTCGAACTTTCGTTGCCCGTGCCACCGCGTGCACTGACCAACCGATTTTGGATTACTTGCAGGTTGTCGCTGGCGAACTCGGTGTACGAGAACCCGTCGCTGCCGCGGCGCAAGATCCTCCTGAGCACGGGTGGCTCGAACTACCGTCCGCCGCTCGAGCGGTCGAAAAGCGCCCCGAAGCTCTCAGCGATCGAGGAGGACGCGGTGGCCGAGGAGATGGAGCAGCAGCGCTTCCTCGAGGAGCTGCGCTCCCTCCAGCACTGCGGCTGGCAGGAGCCCGACAGTTGGAGGCTGGCCAGGCTCCTCGACGCCCTCAACAGTCGCGAGTCCTCGGACGAGAACGGCAGCATATCCAGCGGATGCGAGACCGCCAGCACCGCCAACAGCGAGGAGCGCGCCTCCAGCGGCGAGGACTCGCACGCCGTGCTCATGACGCACGAGGCCGATTCCCGCAACGGTCAGTCACACTATTTTCAACCCTTTTTCTTTTTCCCTCTCTTCAAATATAAGTATTACATGTAACGAGCCGAGCTACGAAGAGCGCTCTGCTCTTAGCTCCTTAATAATAAATTCAATTCACGATTGTCACTACGATCATCCCTCCGTTTCCATAATAAGTAAAATGTACAGCGTAACAACCAAACATCGAGATAAAAAACAGAGGTCATGTGGAACCAAGTGGAAAACGTTTAACGTTTTGTTTGTGAATTCACAAGAAATGGGAATATTGTTAGGGGGCGGGCACGAAAATGGAACGGCCATCGGTTTTGAATGTTCGATAGGTCGAGTTGTTTATATATATATAACGAGCCTCCCCCGGAAGGCAGGCCGGTCGAGAGTCGTTCTATAGCCATCGGGGAAAACCAAAACGAGTAAACCGAACCCTCAACGTTTTCAGGCGAGGAAAAGGCCAACGGCACAGGGACAACCGAGCCAACGGCACCATCGACCTCCCCGGGCAGCTCGACCAAGGGAATCGGTCCTCGGCGCAACTCGGAGGGCTCGCCGCACTTCATGACCTGCGCGGGCAGCCCGCGCTTCCGGCGCAGGAGCGCCAGGCCGCAGCGCAGGTCCCGAGCCCAAGCAACCGGCGAGCCCGACGAGTCCATGGAGGACGAGGAAGAGGAGGACGAGCCCGAACCGACGACTCCCGGGGACAGCTTCTTCGTGTTCGAGGACGCCGACGATATGGACGAGGTCGTCGACTTCCGGCCCCACGGCGAGGGCACCCGGCTACAGGTAGGCATTTCTCATATTATATACACCTCACCAGGTGCGAGTGCGGGGTTGATGGCATAATTTTCGTCGTTTCCCCAGAGCGACGGTTACTCGGCGCTGATGGCGAGGCGGGAGGACGTGCGGAAGCTAGTGAGCGCGCGGTGGGCCTGCAGCAAGTCCCGGGACGAGGGGGACGGGTGCGAGGAGGAGCCCCCAACCAAGGCAACATCGAGCACGGCGGTGGTGGTGGTGGTGACGGGGGAGGCGAGGTCACCACCGGTGAGGGCGAGTTTCCACGGAAAGTTGGGGGCGCTGGACGAGGAGGAGGCCGACAGCGACGAGAGCGGCTACGTCGAGGCCTCGCCCAAGAGCTCGATGGACAGGACGGGGATGAAGGGCAGGAAGCAGGAGGACGCCGGGGAGGAGGGGGTCGGCGGCGCGAGGGGTGGCGCCGAGTGCACGGCCGAGTTCATAAAGTGCCCGATCTCCGAGACGATAAGGAAGCTGGCCAATGCCTCGCTGAGGAGCTCCAAGGGGACGAGGGCGTGTCTCGAGTCGCTGGGCAGGCAGGTCGTAGGGCCGGAGATCGACAGCGCCGAGTCGCCGAGTTTGCTGCAGAGGAAGCGGCTGCTCGCTCAGCAGGGCGTCACCGTCTGAAAACGTCTCCTTTTTACCCCCGCCAACCTGATGCCGTTATCGTTGTTATCGTTGTTGTTATCGTTGTTGTTATCATTGTTACGAATTGTTGTATTTTATATAGTTGGGAGAAGCGAGCGACTGATCAATTGTGTCTTATACACACGTGACTGGATTATTATTTTTTATGGTCTGCTGGAATCTCTCTTGAAACGCTTGTCGGCGAACATTGTGTCGCGAAGGGGCAGATTGGCTACTCGATCGAGAGAGCGCACGGGTTATTATTTGCTCTCTTTGGACATTACGTGTTTTTGTTATTTGATATTGGTGGTCGGAACGAGAAGGAGAGGGAGGACACCGTTTCGAGCGTTGATACTCTAGTGTAGTGTACAGTTTTTTTTTGTTTTTTTTTTTTTTTTTTTTTTTTTTTTTTTTCTCTATAATATCAAATGTAAATACTTGTAAAGCTTTATTTTGTTTGATTCGAGCGTCACGTTGTATGGTTTCTTTCAAGGATACTGGATTCTTGAAAATACTAATGCTACCGAGATTGGTTGGGAGGGATTTTTTTTTTTTTTTTGTTCCATGTTTCTTTTGATGTAATTTTGCCCATGTATAAATAAATGGTAGGTTAGACAAACCTATTTGTATTATATAGCATTCCAGTAACTGTAAGCGATTTTTTTTATTTAACGATAGAGATTTCATTATAAATAAATAAATGTTTTTCGTGTGCATGTTACAAAAAGTAAAAGTATGTGTTGTCGTTTATGTAGTAAATTTAGAGGAAATTCGTTTCACTTGCTGTTTATCTAGTTTAGATAAATTGTGAGAACTTTTGCTGCACAAGTTCGTTTTTGGTTTTCTGTTTAGCATATAGTAGTAAGAAAACTGTAATAATGGCTGAATCGATGTTTTCGTCGCATATACAACAATTTGTGTTTTCAATCAAGTTACTTTTGTTAAAAAAATTACAAAAAAATCATCCACGATTTGTAAGCAATGTTTTGTATGAGCTTCTATTTTGTAGGAATGTATCAAAGAACGTTGATTAAGAGCGTATGTAGACGTACAAGCGATCAAATTAATAAAGACTTTGAGAATGCGTGCGAATTAAAAAGTAAATTTTTTTTTTTTCATGTGTACAGTGGTAGCTTTGTTATTGCACCTATCGATTGATACGGGGTTGAAATTCTTTGTAAGATAAAGCTTTATGTATTTAATGTAAAGAAAGTATTTTTTTTTTTTTTGTACATATATACGATTACTAGATAAATGTAAGATGGCAGTGCGGCCTAATTGAAATTGTCAACTGGTAATGTGCGATATTTCTATCAGTGAAAGGGCATCTTGATAAAAATCCATCCTGGTGCGATTTACGTTTCCTTAACAGTAATAAACTATCATTAAATTATTCATCACGTGTTTAATTTTTTTACCTGACTTTTGCACCAACTATATTAACAAAATATAAGGAAAAAAAACTTTGAGCTTTGAATGATAATGAAAATGAATAAACTTTATTAAACTTTAGATTTTACGATGTTTAAGACAAAAATCAGAAAAATAGAAAACGAAAAGCATACAACAATCAAATAGTTGATAACCGAAACTATTTGATTACGCGTTAATTTGATTAAAGTACTCGAAAGAAAAAATTGTTTGCGTTGTTTAATACAAGATGTTTGAAAAATTGTTTTACTCGCCCATAATTTATTTCGTTATCTTTTACGATGACATATACATGTATATTCGTGAATGTGTGAACTTTTGTTTACCTTGTGGTGAAATGTCTATGTTTTCGGGGCATGGTAACTCGGCGCTTTGAATCTCAGTGATCGCTAGTTGCTACAGATGGCGGTTTGATTTAACAGCATAATGAAAAATTTGAAGAGTATCCTCCCATTCGTATACACTGGGCGCTCAATTTGTACACGAAAATGGGAAAACACATGAATTCGAGACTCAAGTACAGTTTTCAAACTGTACGTATATTTATATAGTCCCGATGATCGATGATGACTTATTGATTTTTCATCAGCACGCAAACTCTAATAGCTCTGCAGCGTTGATGTCCCATTGGACGCGAGAAATGAAAAAGCGATGCTTTATCTAAGGGTACACGAGAAATATTACCACATCTGTGTACCACACGTGTAAAATTTGTATTTAATCCACATTGATTGCGCCCCACACCCGAACGTCAAACCATAAAGACCGTAACGATCGTCACCTTCTGTTCACACGTAATAAAGTGGTGGACATCAAAGTTGAGGAGTAAGGGAGAAATAACAGCACCTCACGATGGCGTTCGCAAGAACAATAAAGCAGATAGGCCGATTTGCAAACCGAGAAGGTGAATGATGGAAAGTCGTGGGAACGACGCGTCTGTATGGACACGCGTACGGGAGCGTGTGGTGGGTGTGTATGTACTACATACGTGCATCACCTACGTCGACGTACAAAAGGCCATTATGGGACGCGGAATGGAAGGACATCACGACAATGGAGCAAAGTGTCAAGATCAAGGCGCCTACAATACTTACTCTCCGAGTATTTTGTCCATGTGACGGCCGTTCGTGTACGCGGACATGGTGTGAACATTAATTTTTTTTTACGTTTCCTTATTTTTCCTCCATCATCTCTATCATCCAGTAAAAAAAATATTCGCAACGAGAGCAATCAATGTTGGAAAATGTATTGAATTTGCGAAACGCACCGAGTATGCGCGCTGCCTAAAATCACCGAAAACAAAAAAACAAAAAAAAACAAAAAAAACCACTGCCGATTAAAAAATCACGACACGCGTTGGTTTCTCTCGCGCGAGTGTGCTATTAATAAACGCAGCCCAAAAAATAAAAGTGTAGCACGTGGCTAGAAAAAAGGCACCGATTCTACAGTAAAGTTAAAATTAAGAGAAGGGTGTCGGGGCTCGTTTTGGAGATAAGAGCGCCGTCAAACACCTTACCGGGTACCCATGAGTATGATACACACATATAGCTACTTGAAATATATCGAACGAAAGGACGACCCACGTTGTACAACAAAAGTGAGCTTCTCCGCGGTTGCCTCGATGTACGGCGTCCGCCGTATTACAAGCGCGCCCATTTCCGCGCCCTACTAACCAACCGAGCGCTACATACGTGCAACGCGCTCGTCCTGCTATTCGCGTATACATACTTGCTTCAATATTATATACCTATACGCGTTGTGCGTCCGCACAAATGAACGTTATGTATATGTTTTTCGACAGCTGTGCCATTGGCGTTGTGTATATTATACGAGAGTTATTGCACCGATGCTATGTATAGGTGACGGCACGACTCGCAAATATATACATCTCCTTGCCACTTTTTTTCGTTTGAACGATCATAGTTTATGTATACTTTAGATAAGCGCAGCAACGAGTCCTCATTAGTACGCTATGGTGTATAACCGATCGATTGCGATCTGATGAACAATTTTTAGAAAACTTCTCCATCCGAAAGTTGGATAGTTTGTCTATTTTATTGCTTTTTGTTTTCAAAGTATATACAGACATTTGGGTCGGAATGGGCATTTAAAATTCTTGACCGAATAATCGATGGAAAAATGCCCCCCCCCCCCCCTGAATCGAAGGAGAAAAAAAAACGTACAAACACTTGTGTGTACCCAATAGAAATTGTTTTTCAAAGTTAAGGCCATACGAAATTACCATTGCCATTTTTTTTTCCACCGCGTGCTCGCATACCCGCGTGATTTCTCCCTCGCGACGAAGTAAGAAAAATTGGAATAACAATGGTAAGTATAATTTAAAAAAAAACCATACGTGACGTTCTGCGCGATCGCCAAGAGAAAAAAAAAATACCGCGCACGAGGCAGCACTGATACAAGATTCGTGTTCAATGAAAAACCCCCAAAAACGGGGTGAATGATTTTTTTTATGTTGTATGCGCAAACTATTTGAGCCAATAGATAACGTACGGGTTCACCGATTACGTGTAAACACAGAAAGTATAAACGTGTGCCAACCCGGACCGCACACATTTCGCATCAAAAAATGTATTTTGTACTATATTCGTGAAAGCGTCATCCCTTGATTTTTGTTCAAAATTAAATTTGCCCTTTTTGCTCTGGCGAAACATAAGACGCTCCTGTGTGGAGCAGTCTTTTTTTGAAGAAAAAAAAAAAAAAAAAAAAAGAGGAAAGCCCATACACGCATAACGGATAATCCTCGGCGTAAGATATACATGTATATATATTTTTGGGGTCCTCACACATGCGAGAGCCACCATTCCGCGTGTATATAAATATTTATATACATGTACATTTATTATACCCACACTGCAATGGTGGAAGCAGCATCTTCTCTATATACACGGCAGCAGGAATGACAGTAAAGGAGCGCTGGCACACACAGTGTTAACGGCCTTGCTCGATTATGTGGGTCACGAAACAAGGTCCCGCGCACAGCAGTGCCGAGAGAGTTGAGAGGAGGAGGAGGAGGAGAGACGCGGATGAAAGAGAAAGACACGGCGCTCGCTCGCGTACAATATATATATACATGTTATTATTATATCGAAGCCGAACCGCGTACATATATATACATATACATATTAACAGGTATACCTGCACATACATATACGTACCTGTATAAGGAGAGCTGAAACAATGGGGATCAGAGGTGGACCTTTTTTGTGCATTTGGGGCTCGCTCGTACCTCTAGTGATTGTCTGTATATATACACTATATATAGGTACGAAGGAGAGCCTCTCTCTCTCTGTGAATAGGCCGGATCGGGTTGAGCCCATCACGCGAGATTGTCGATCGCAACTGTATTGTTTGGGATGCACCAAGATTTGTTGAGGAGCTTTTTTTCAACAAGGGACTAACAATAATGATGATGATGATGACTACACCTATACCGTTCGGTAAGCAAGTAATTCCCCATGGCCCATAAATTGTGTATGTACTTATAGAGTCGCAAAAAAGTCACCATATATCCACTAGCAATTCGGATCCTACAAATTCACTCCACCACGTGCAAGCACAAATATATATTGTAGACACGCACGCGCGCGAGGAAATTCAAATGAGGTAAAACGAAGCAGTCGGACAAGAGTTAGTATAATATAAGGTATATATATATATATATATATATACAGACCTACGGTGAGTACACCATAATAATAATTATGTCGATGGGAGTCGAAGAAGAAGAAGAAGAAGAGAGAAAAAGGCCCCAGCATCATCTCTATAATAGCCGCGCCAGTAAATCTTTCCGTCCCAGTTGACGCGGGCTTTCCCATCATACCGGTACATATATATAACTTACCTGTGCACACACGTGCGTGCAAGTATACTCTACTCACGTATACGTACATGTTGGAGTATTAGGCGTGGGTGAGCGCGAGCTG